TGGGCGGAGTGGGGGCAGGAGAAGTGAGTTACTGAAAGGGATTTCACAGGATAAATCTAAGGGGATCTTGAGAGGTGGTAGTTCCCAAGGTGAACAGCAGAGGTACGGGCATTCTAGGTAGTCACAGGAATAGCAAAGCGAATGGCATGTTCTTGGGAAGTAGAAGACAGCTTGAAGTGGCTTGAGCCTAGGGTGGAGTGAGGTCTAAGAGACAGAGGATCTGAGCGGGCAGGCTAGAGCTAGAACGCAAGGGTACTTGTATGCATGCCAAGGACTTAGTGATTGAGTAAGACAGAGTAGCCTGGCCGGGTTTGGGTTTTGTAGAAAAATAATAACAATAAAAGTAATGGGAGTCTGTGGAATTAAGATCGAGAAGAACTAGAGTAAGTGGATCAACCAGTTAGAAGGGCCTTTCCCAGCTCAGCTGGAACTCAGTGAACACAGCTAATGTTAGCTTCCTCTAAGTGAATAAGGACAAAGGAAAATCAGGCTGTGGGTGTGTGTTTTTAAGTTTTTGATTGAGCGTTTTGCTTATAGGAGGTGTTGACTAGAGAAAAAAGTCAAGCTTGTAAAGAATTAAAATTAGTTTTATTTAGAAGTCTTAACTGAGGACTACAGACTGAGATTTACAGTCCGGGAGCAGTTCTGCCAGACTGCTCCAACACAATATTTCAGTTCACAGCTTAAATACAGGTGGTGAAGATTCAGTGCATGCAAATCACATCAGAGTTTGGGTGTAAGAGTATACCTGGGTATAGATTACTAAAGTACATCTGTCTGGTTATAAATTGTAGAAGCGTAATCACTAACCCTGTCAGACATTATCTTACGTGCAGGAAAAGGCAAGGATTGGGGTCATTTATCTTTTAGGGTGGTGGTCCCCAACCTTTTTGGCACCAGGGACCGGTTTCGTGGAAGACAGTTTTTCTGGGGGGGTCAGGGGAGGTGAAGCTCAGGAGGTGATGCACGGCCCGGTTCCTCACAGGCTATGGACCAATACCGGGCCACGCCCTGGGGTTGGGGACTCCAGTTTTAGGGAATGTAGTGACTCAGGCAAGAGATGTGGGGGGATGTGTGCTCTCTCTTGTTTTGTCTTCAAAGCCTCCCTCCGGAGAGCTGCCCATCGTCACAGGGTCAGGGGCTTTGTGAAATTAGCTGGCAAACCGAAATGAACAAACATGGCTTCTCACATTTGCTACTCTGTCTCTCAGAGTGAAGAAGGCTGAGGAAGAGAAGACAAGGCAGGGAGAGAACATTCTGACTTCAAAAGCTATAAATAAGAAGAGTGGGCTCTGCCTTTTAACTTCTACTATAATCTTGTGGTTGACAAATGCATCGTAAAGCCTTCCCCTCCTCCTGCATGTTCTGTCATCCCTGTTAGCTAGAGCTCACTGGGGAAGGAAAAATAGGGCCTCTTCTTAAATTCTGGGGCAGGATTCCTACTTCTAGTCACCATTTTTCTGGTTGCCCTCCTCCTTTGTCAGAGGATTACATGTGAACCAGAAATTGTTTTTAGTAGCTCTTCTTGCTTTCCTAATGTAAAGCAGGATCCACGTTCCAAAGGTGGTGTTTACTTGCTGCCGTGGCGTGGGGGTCCGGCACATCCTGTGTCATTGTTCCATCTCCGCAGTGAATGTGGGAACATGCACACGCCGGAACTGTAGTGGCTCGATGACTGTGCAACCTTTGCAAGTCCCTGTCCTCATCTACAAATGGGGCCACCTAAAATGACATTCCTTATTTGATAGGTGTTAGATACCATGTAAAACAGCACTTAATAGAGAGTCTGGCTCATAGTGAGGGTCCAGTAAATATTAGTTGCTATAACCATCATATATTTCCTACTAGATTCTAGAATTACTTATCAGATCTATTAAGCAAAGAACGTGGATAATGTAATTTGACCAATGAACGTTCTGCCTACATTTTAATTGACTCCTTTGATAATACTTTCCCTTTGAGGAACCTGACCCATGTGTAGTAGAAATGTAGACTTCATGTTCCAGTCTACATACAGCATAACCTTTTGCTGTGATACCATTAAAGGTATCTTAATAATGAGATCTCTGTTGTCTTCACACTATTATCTCATGTGGTTGTTAGTACTTGGAAGCAGCATGGCCAATTATGAAGCCCGTAGAATTATGAGCTTAAAATCCTCCCTCAGTAATTACGGCAGGATGGTAGCTCCATTCTCTGTCCTCATCCACCATCAGGGGCTTACGTATCACACTTCTAAGGACCTTCCTAGAGTAAGGTGGGGGTGGGGTGGGGCTTCCTAAATTTTACCTTAGAACAATAGAGTTCATCTATCTTGTTTCCTGCGGTATGTTATGAAAAATGGAGGGTTTGTTTAAAGAGGCATAGTCTGACATAAAAAGAATATCCTTGAAAAACACAAGGATTGAATGATGATGTCATCTTTACATGGGAAGGGATGGAGAAAATTTTTGTCTAGAAATTGTAGTTAGAAAAGGTAAAGAAATGTGATTATGACTGTTGTAGAGAATGGATTTTGAAGGGTATAAGAGGGTGTGTGTGCACATGTGTGCATTTCAGTATTAACAGTGAAGTTATTTGTGAAAAAACTGAAACTCTGGTGAGAGAATGGATCTAAATTGGACTCTTAAGAGCATAGATATTCACTACTGGTACCATGCCTGGCACATAGAAGGTGCTCAATAAATGACTTCTGACACAGTTGTGTAGCTCAGGCTTTGCACTTCATAGTATGCTAAGTTGTCAATCCTATCTTAAAGAAATTAAACTCATATTTTACCTCTTTAAATTGCTATAGTTAGAACCTGATATAAGGATCTGCCATATTTCCAGGGTTTGAAGAAGTTTTTTAAACCTTCTCTGTTTTTTTCATGTGAAGTTAGTGGTATATCACAATAGTAGCATTTGAAGTTCAAAAGAATTACATTTAGGATAAACACTATATCGCATTTAGGATTTGATACTTTAGCATATTTAGAAGCTCACTGATAGAATAGGCTATAAACATTAATCATTATAGTTGATGAATGCTAAACTCTCCTAGGTGTTTCAGGAGAATGTAGAGTGTTATGGGAATCTGTGCTTTTTTTTTTTGAGACAGAGTCTCACTGTGTTGCCTGGGCTAGAGTGCCGTGGCGTCATCCTAGCTCATAGCAACCTCAAACTCCTGGGCTCAAGCGATCCTACTGCCTCAGCCTCCCAAGTAGCTGGGACTACAGGCATGTGCCACCATGCCCGGCTAATTTTTTCTGTATATTTTTAGTTGTCCGATTAATTTCTTTCTATTTTTAGTAGAGACGGGGTCTTGCTCTTGCTCAGGCTGGTCTCGAACTCCTGAGCTCAAACAATCCGCCCGCCTCGGCCTCCCAAAGTGCTAGGATTACAGGCGTGAGCCACCACGCCCGGCCCATCTGTGTTGTTGATGTTAGGAAGGAAAACTGTCTTCTCCATACTGTCAGGTAATTGGTATTGATGCCCGAAATAGAGAACCAGACTGAATGGGCCTTGGTGTGACCCATATGCCACCTCACGGGACTTCCTATTCTTAAGTTTTTTTGACTGGCAAACATTTTTTGTTTGTTTCCTATTACTAAAATGTGATACCAAAAAGGAAGTTGTGTCTAAATCAGCTGTTTTCTCAGTCCTGTGACTGAAATGGAGCCCAAATTTCCACATCCAAGGTTTTTTTTGTGTTTGTTTATATTATCTAATTCTGACTTTTGCCAGCTAAAGCTATTAATACTTTATAGTCAAGGTGAATGAATTTCATGTCAGGGACTAGGTTTTACTATCTTAACTAGTTACTCTTCCTTCCCCATCCTGTTTATTTTAAAATAATATTCTTTGAAATTGCTATAGATAAAGGTCACAAAAAGATGATGTTCTGATCTAATATTCCATTTTTCCATAGGATGCTAATTTGTCTTTCAAACTTTGTTCCCATTTCTATTTCTTTAAAGGCTGAAAAGAAGGGAGCCAGCAATACCATTATCGGTATGATTTTTGGATGTTATGCTTTGTTTGAGTTGCTGGCATCTTTGGTATTTGGAAACTATGTAAGTACTAAAGTTCAGGTGCATGTTTTAATTTTTAAAAATTGTGTAATGAGTTATTCTGATTTACAAGTCTATAATTTGCATGGATACAGAAATAACCACTGTTATGGTTTTATAAATTGTGCCACTATTGACAGTTCCCTCCTTAGGGTTGATTGATTTTTGACTCCTTCCATGTTTCTAAGCAATGTGTATTGGCACTCCATTAAAGAGTTACTATATTAACTGTACATGTCTTCCCCCAATCCTATATTTTCCAATATAGTAGATTTGTTTATGTCAATATAGACTTGTAGATGTCATCAATTTACCACTCTTCTTTGACATTTATTATAGATTGTACATATTGGAGCAAAATTTATGTTTGTAGCAGGAATGTTTGTCTCAGGAGGAGTTACCATTCTCTTTGGGTAAGTCATTTTCTGACATGTTTGGGAGCTCAAACAAATTTCATAATCTATCTTCGGTCTGAAATATTAATGGCTTTTTAAGTCAATGGTACCATTATTGTCTGTTGAATGCATAGCATGTGACAAATGGCAGAAGGAGTTGGGTGAGTAGAGAACAGAAATGAATGGCACTGATCTTGAGGAAATAGTCCTCCAGGGACCACCATTACACTGGCCACTGAATTTATTCTTTAGGACTCCTGTGACTGTGAGTGACAGAAACCTTTTGGCTTAAGCTAAAAAGTGAATTTCCTTCCTAAAGAATCAACTCAGAAACTTCAGGATACAAATGTTGAAACAGCATCATAAAGAAATTTTTCTTGACTTACTGCCCTTGCTTTTTTCTTCTTGTGATTTATTCTTGGTCGAGCTTTCCCTTGTGGTGGCAAGGTGGCCCCACCAGCTCTAGTAGGTAGTGCCACTTTCCCAATAGTTCCTGTTAGGGCCCCAGGTTGGAGCTCCCTGGCCAGATCTTTCTGGATGGCCAATCCCTGTAGCCAGGGGGAAATAATGTTCTGATTCGCCAGGCTGGGTCACGTGCTCACTTCAGAGGTGGGGCAGCATGGTTTTCTCTGTTGCCGTTTCCAGAAAAAGGGGAAATGAGTTCCAGAGGCAAAACAGCTATAGAAGTTCTTAAGCTTAGAGTTCTTAAACCAGCAGCATAGTGGCAAATAATATGGAAGAGCTTATACAAGTACTTGGGCAACAGAAAGGAATGATAATAGTATGGTAAGATTGTGATGAAATAAACTCAGGAAAACCATTATATTAAACAAAGTGGATGTTTTAAAAAATTTTCTGCACAGAGAGTCTTCTGTTCTCCTCTGAATTCATTCTTTTTTTTTTTTTTTCCTGAAAGTTTGAGTCCCACCATGGGGGAGACCTGAAACTAAGAAGTCTTTCTATATAGGTCTTGTCAGAGTGATTCTACACATTCCGAAAAGGCCTATTAACTGTTGTCATCTAGGAGACCAACTATATCAGCAGAAAAGGGCAACCTAACCTGTCATTATGAATTAAATTGTTACCAAAAATTAGAAGGTAATTTCCTTCTACTGAAAATGTAACAAAATAACTCTTCAAAAAATTTATATTCCAAATAGATTTATTCTAATAACTATGGGTGATGTACTACTCTTTTCCATGAGCACAATTAAAAAGGAAAAATAAATAAAAACCAGCTTAACATTTGAGAATTATCTTATTCTCTTTTAGTATATTGGATCAAGTTCCAGAAGGACCAATATTTATTGCTATGTGTTTTCTAGTGAGAGTAATGGATGCGATAAGCTTTGCTGCAGCCATGACTGCGTCGTCTTCTATCCTTGCAAAGGCTTTTCCAAATAATGTGGCTACAGTATTGGTATGTGTTTTATACATTTTTTTCTATTTTTCTTTGAGTATAGGCCAAAATATTTTTTTGATCTTCCAAATTAAAGCTGAGATCCATTCCTCTATACTTGCTTTTCTCTACTTTCTCTGTTTTTGTTATCTTTTACTCCAATTTCTACTTCTATCAGCAAGGCTGTCACTAAATGTACCATTAGTTTTACTTAGATGTTCTTCCTGATCTTAGAATTCCCTGAATGGACAGTTTGGCAAATAAATGTGGTCCAAACCAACTATTCTTTCTACCACTTTTTAAAAGCTTCCTAGTGACTATTTTTCTATCTCCCTGTAGCCTAGATTGTGGCTGAGTTGCCTGAAGCATTCCTGTCCTTTAGAAGAGGGTTATTCCTGTGGCAAAACACTCAATTCATATGGGTCTCTCTTCCACTTTCCCCAGATTTGTACAAGGGATCTCAGAGTTCATCTTGAAGTCCTTAAGTGCCTCTGTGCTGTCTGAGGAGTGCCCTTTCATTTTGACATAAAAACGGAGAACTTGGTGGCATCATATTGACATACATTCTTGTGTATTGCCTAGATGCATGTAGACCTGGTATAAATGACACACCAGATTCCTGTCTCAGCTCTGTGCAGCTGCCTCCCTGACCCCAAGCTGGCTTTCCCATAGCACTTTCTCTGAGCTCTGCTTGTCAGACCAGACACCACCAAACACCACCCTCATAGCATATAATTGTTCTCTAGACTTTGGAGTTTAATTATCTTAGTACCAAGGACTCCCTCATTTACTCAGTTAGTACTGACGTTTAAAAATTTTTACTACCGATGAACTATTTGCTGTGTAAATAGTTTTTCCCACTTTTTTATTTCAAAATATTAAGGGGGTACAAATGTTTTA